GAAATAAAAGCAGAAATAAAATGTGTGTATGTACACCCTTGGGAAAATAATAACACTTTTAACAGGATTTTTTGAGCTGTTCTTTCATATGAAATCTTCAGATCTTAGAAAATAAGAATAGTTTTGCAAATTAACTGGTTGAAAATGCTCAATTCAAGGGTCCAAAATCGGTAGTCTCCCTACTAAATAAGGAGAGTTGGCTAGTATTCTAGGGTTATTTTGCCAACTATTGTGAAGACTGTTGAGGATTAGTGTAATGAAATGATTTACAATGTTGGACCACAGAGTTATGCCCCCTGGTAAGTACAACTTGACTTTGTTTACGAATCATCCTTGAAACTCCAGGCTTTTCTCTTTTGATACACATACCTCTTTTTTTTAACCAACGGAAAAAAGACAAAATGACAAAATTGATAGCTCTTACGGATGATAAAAGTAGACTACAGTAAAACCTTGTTATACTGCCACCATTTGTCCAGAGAAATTTTGACATTATAAAGGGGTTTGGTGATAAATTGAGGGAAACGTATAAAAGGAATCCTTAAGAAAATGACAAAAAAGGACATTGAAAACTATTGGCGGTAAACGAGATGGCAAATTGAACGAGGGGCATTATATCGAGGTTTTACTTGAGTTTGATGTCATTGATGAAGATCAAAGGAATCATGTGAAAGCGTAACGATAAGATCAACAGGCTTTGATGTTGGTGTAGCTCCTCTGTAATCATCAAAGAACATACAGGTATCAGCCTTGCAATTGGTCAGGTTTTATACCTGAAATCAATCAAATGGCTTACTGCAAGTCTTTGATTTGCCATGACATATTACTCCAGTGGTTCAAAGAAGATAAAGTGTATCGGGAGCGGATCACCCTTGCATTTCGACGATGCTTAGGAAGCAACCTACCATTAATTAAGCTTGAGAACCATGTCAACCGAAGTATATAAAATTGCATAAGGGATTTTAAAGTCATGTTAAACAAAAATCTGGAGTCTGCAGTCCATATACTGAAACTGACATCACCAGTGTTACAAACATATGTAGAATAAATATAAAACCAATATTTAGAGATAAAACTTGTGCCTGATAGGTTAAATGTGATGAATCTTTTTGGCTTTATTTACAGCGGTACCTGAAGGCATTATTTACATAATGATGTCAAAGTAATTGCAATACATAAGCAGTCACACTAAAACTTAAAATTCAGACAGTCATTGTTATTCCAAACACACATCATTTTTGAAGTAAGAACTTAAAATCCTTGTATGAAACACATACCTGCTGGTTCAGGGGTAGGTTTAGTCATGCACATAAGTTTAGTGAATGGACTTAAAATTTTGAAATATTTTAGATGTTTTTACGTACAATGTCCTAGACAGTGTGTCTGATACGATTTTATAGGATGATTAATAGATCCCGCCACTTAAATGATGACCACTTACGTCCACTTATTGGTCAAGCTTCTCCAGCCTTATTGATATAATATAGGGAATCAATATTGGTTTAATATTGCAGATTGATCCCTACACCAAAAGTGTGAATAGGGAACGGCAATCTATGCCCAAGATAAATGGCTAAACATGGGTCATCCTTGTACCTAGGATTCGTCATTATAACATTGATAGCAAATGTAATTTTGATAGCCAGTATGGTATACAATAGGTTCAAACTTTAAATTGTAGCAGTTTTATCTAGATCTTTTATCTTGTTCACCTAGCTTTCACACTTGAGTATTTATAACATTTATAAAAAAGGATTTATAGAACTAGTAGTTCACCATGCTCTTGGTGAGTCCAAGTATTATATTGAATACCGTATTTGCCATAATTTACTCCCCCTCCCTTTTAAGTGCCCTTCCCCTTTTTTTCTCACTTATTAAAGGATATACATAAGTTTTCCAATTCCTAGACACTAGCCTTTCTCATGGCCCTCTCTGTTTAAATCATTCACCCATGAAGACAAATTTACACTCATCCAATTCAAAGGTTGGAATAGTTCATTATGAAATTTCAGGGTGAATGAGTTACCAAAATATATAAACACTATCAGACACTTCAGTCTCTTAATCTCATGAGTCGGTTTTCCAAAGTTTCAGGAGAAAAAAAACCCACTTTTTTTAGAATCCTCCCTGACAATGTGTCTGACATTTATGCCACTTTATTGCTACTACTACAACCTTTGTTTTCTTATCTAGATAAACCAGTTTTTCATGCACCATGGGTGCTCATTATGTAGAATAAGGTAAAAATATAGAAATATTTCACATTGATTTAAATTAGCTCAATGCAATTACAATGGAATCTGACTATATAACTGTTCAAAATTGAATCTGTCAAATAATCCTCCTGACTAGGAAAGAAAACTCATGCAGTCCTGACCTGCATTTATCAAATTCTTTTTCTTACAAAACATTGGATACCAAAATAAACTCTGACATGTTTTCTGACCTGATTAATATTGAAAATTAACAAAAAAAACTGTTTTTTTATCCAAACGATATTTCTTATTTTTCACATGTATATATATTGATGTTATAAGAACTGATGATATGTTCTTTCTATTAAATCAATTTTCATAAATTTTCCCATAAATAAGTTTGCAGGTTGATAATAAGTCTATAATTAGTAAAATTTCCTAAAAACTAGTAATTAAACAATGCAATCAATCATATAGAATTTTCTTGAAAGATCAATTGTAAAAACAAATTCAGTACCACATTTTAATAATGTAAATGTTTAAGTATACCATTAATACAAAGATAATATGGCTAGTGTGTATACCTACAATATATAATGTGTATTAAAAAGAGAACAGAATCCTAATATTGCCACCCAATGGGACAATCTATATGATATGCTATTAAAATTAATAAGTTATTTACTACTTAGGTAAAATGAACTTACCTGTACACATACATGGTGCCTTACTTCTGTGTAATTGTTATCAGGTGTGTACTGATCCGATCTCAGGTGAGAACAGTCTCGTTCGTTGTAAAAACTTGAAAAATATTTCTACACAAAGTCATTGGAGAAAAAAATATGAAACTATAGAAACTTTTGAGTGGTGATCAAGATTAAACTTCCCCTAGGAGAGAGTTGATGGCTAGCACTAACCTATACTCCGGGGTTCTCTACACAGGTAGGCAGGGTAAAGTAAACATCAAACATGCTACCTTCAAATAGGTTTAAATGTCGTGTATGACAAACCCCATACAATCATCAAATGAAAAAGCTCAGATCCTATTTCTTAAACAGTAACGGAAAATCAGGCCAACTAACTTAAATTGGTTGATTCTTAATATTTTAAAATGTAGATGAGAAAGTTGATATCACAATTGGAATTGGAATAGTTGAATATTGAATCGGTGTGAATGTCTAATCAGTGTGATTATTTAATCAGAGATAATATTGAATTGATGTGAATATTGCAATCAACAGATTATTGAAACTGGTGAATAATTGGACCAGTCAATATTGGCACCTTTGAATAATGGAATAATGAACTTTTGGAGAAAAATGAAAATCAATGGATATTTATCACCAATGAATTTGAATCAGTAAAAATAAGGACAAGTGAATTTTGAAACCTCCAAAACAAATTTCCACTTGTTCGTATTTGTAGTAATACAATAAGAGACTTAAAACGGTTAACTATTTTGCATGGCCTCAACTATTAAAGGAAACCTAGGAGAGACAATGTATCGGGCTATTCATGTACAAGGTGTAATTTAGTGTTCTTGTCCCCGGGATTTGAAAGGAAAATAAAATACCTAGGTAAGACTTTAATGTTACGAATATGTTTTGGTGAATGTCATTGCCATGGGCTCTCAGAGCCTTGTTAGCTTCACTGCTTATTATTCAAGTTTTCAAAATAAGATTTTGTTTTCATCATGTACATTAATTTTTATTCACAAGTGTTTTGAACCCTTTAAAGATATAGGTAAGTAGGATATATTGTTCATTTCATATAAAAAAAATGAAGAAAAATTAAGAAAATGAACAGATATATAAACAAATTTTACAACAGCTGTGCTAACAAGACTTAAAAACAGGATGCCGGTTGTCAAAATCTCCTCTGCAAATTTAAAGAGGAATTAAGATAATTGCTCCCCTTATAAAATAACTTTTCTATTGAGATTGTCAGGTGGAAGCTTTCAGAGACAGTACACGATAAAGAGGATTACGATCTGTTGGAAGGAAAGTTGTAAGATAAATAGCCCTGAAGGTTTGAAAGTAAAAGGGACTACCGTAAGCCGTAACAGTTTTGCTAAAGAGACAAAAGGTTTAAGGTAGCAGAGAAAAAGTGGCTTGATTATCAAATGTCTGGATTCAGTGTTCAAATTGTACAGAAGACCAATAATACACATTCACTCTAAAAAATACTGTAGGTCAATGGGAATCATTTACATCATAGATCAAGGTGTCAATGATGTTACTTTCTATGATGTATTTCGTTCATTTATATGGTAGTGAGGGTAAAAGCGTTTGGTAAAATTACTTTTTTTAAATTAATTACTTAAATACACTGGATTATAAATGACATCTGAGCCTTAATGATCGCTGTGTTAACGATGTTCAACTGTAAATTTTAACGGAAAGCTTTTCAGTGTTATAATTGCACCCTCAAAAAAAGTTTATTTTTTATTTATTTTCAAACCTGCAATTTTTTTTTCTCAGGTAAATTGACAGTGTAAGTTATTAAATATGTATTTATAGAAACATGGAACAGCTTTTTAAAATTCAACTATCAAAATTTTGTAACATTTACTACCATTAGTACTGTTGATATATTTTCTTTAACAAACTTCTGCCAAATCTTTGCATTTGTACAGAAACCTAGCTAGTACACTTCAGAATTGGAATGAAAATTTACAAAGTCATGATCAAATAAAAAAAAGTACCTACATCAAAATTCAATGATATCTACTTCAGATATTTGATCGGTTTTTGAAAGTGAACGACTACTTGTATCTGGGTATCGTATCTCAGGACCAAACTACGACCCTCATCAATTTACAATTTTCTGGGCGTGATTGATCAGGACCGCCGAAAATCAATGGAAGCATTCTATCGGGATTTTTTTTTATCTCACAATTATAAACCTGTATACGAAGTTAAAGGTAGCTCAGTGTTATTGAACAGTGAGTGGGAATTGTTCATTCGCCAGTGACTGACAGGGTCTGTTGTTTGCGTACAGCAAAGACGCCATTGAACCGTGCTGTATATTATTTCTACATAGAAACTGGGAAGGTGTTTATACTAGACGTCTGACATTTAAATTTAAAGTGTAATTGGAAAGATATCTAGGGCCATAACCGCCATTAGTATTTTCACGTAATATTACTTGTCAAGGATATTTGTGTGACATCACAGGGCATTAATTCTATGTACTTGATGTCTCTGAATTCATGGACTTAAAATTTCTAATGAAACATTTGTGTGAAGGTTTTCAAGAAATGTGAGAGAATTTTACAAACATTTTCATTAAGAGGAAACAGTGTCCTGTGATTATCGGATATTATCAAGACGTCAACAATTGAGTGATTTAAATTTCCTCAAATGTTAGCTGGAAGATGGTGTTTATTGTCCTTTAAGTGACTCATATGCTTTTAAAGATTTTAAATTAAGATTTTGCTGGAGGGTATAATCTTTGGTAACTTTTATTTAACAATTTTTATACAGAAATTCAGCGAGGAAAACATTACTTCCATATATGGTTATGACTAATCAACATCTTCACAGACAATTAGCTCGCTCAGCATGATTTTTAGGAATCACTTCCCCTGTGTGTGGTAGGATCAGACTCATCAATGGATATTATTTTATCTTAATGCTATTAACTCAAGGACGTTTGAGGTACCATTCTCGACTACCTGTACTGACGAAGTGAATAACGATTTTGGAGATTTATTCAGGGATTCACGGCTAGGATACCAGTAAATCAATGATTCTAATGTCTTTTTTATCCTACGTCTTCAATAATATTATCCTCTGAATTAGATGTACCGTTGTCATAGCAGCAGGTCAACATCCTTACATAATGGTATCACCATATGAGTATTGAAGTATCAGAATTCACCGTGATGAAGTAATCTTCAAATAGCAAAACTTTACACAGCGAGATATTTTTTTTCGTCGTTATCACAGATCACTCAGATAGATTGTGGCTTTGTTCTAGACCTATTTCAGACTTTGATTATTAATATTTGGATAAAAGATTACAGATTAAGATGAATAAATTACGTCGTAATGGAGAATGTTTTCACGTGCCATTATGGGATCTAGAGGACAGATATGGCTACCTGTTACCATGGTTCCTCAAGCTAATCGGCTGTAAGTTTTATCTGTTATACGGTTGTCACATCATCGTTAGGACATTTGGTTGCTATGCCAACACAGCTACAATTTCATTTAGATACATTGTACTAGCAATCTATGGTTCCTAACAGAACACTTGAAAAAGGGACTCCTGTAAAATATATAATATGCTATGACTGACCTTGAAGAAATAAATAAAAATATCAATGACACATGTTGAACATGAATAACAAATTCCTGGGTAGTGTGTCTGATATGTAACTTATATATTTCTATGTATATATTCAGACAAACTGCACTTAACCCGATTGTTACATTATAAAGAACAAAATGTTGTTGCCGAAAATCAACCTAGAAATACTTGTCTGAATTTATCAAAAATGACCTCTATTTAATTAAACACTCTGATAATATAACTTTCCTAAGTGTATAGTAAAGAACTTACAAGTATAATAACATGTATACACGGTATACTGGAGATTTGTTTTGTATTCCAGATACACCCGAGACATTACTGCCAGAACTCTCCATAACTCCGGACATTTCCATTATATGTGAGAAATGCAAGGAACACATTGACCTACCCTCTCTGAGGGATCATAGGATCTACCACGAGAACCTGTCAATCCTTAAATACAATGGCAGTGCCAAGCCGACGACCACTGATGCCTTGCTGCGACGTAGAAACGCAATTTTACGAAAACTAAAATCATCAGCAACTGCAGATAAGCCGCTGGAGCCAAAATCTATACAAAGAGTAAATGATGCTTATGAATATCTTAAGTCAGAAATTGACGGAACTTTTGGAGAATTTCGACACATCGATGAAGACGTGAGTACGGGGGTTAAGGGTGTGGCCTTAAATTGTAGTCCTGGTTGCGTGACATCCGTTGGCATCTGCTCCACTAGAAATGAACGATGGAAGAGCTACATGGAGGATGCACATGTGTATCAAGACTTTTTCGGAGAGGATCGTAACAAATGTTATCTGGCGTTATTTGACGGCCACCATGGGCGCTTTGCGGCAGAAATCGCAGCTGCGGAACTCCACCATCTTCTGCTGTACGAAATGGCAAAGTTTGACCCTAGGACAAAGTGTTTGCCGCATAATATTGGCGAAAACCAAGAAATGTTTCAGTATCAGTTTGAACGTCCGAGCACAAAGGAGAGTGAGCGAGGCATTCTTCACGATGAAAGTGTCAATATCGTACAACAAATCATCAAATTGTGCGAGGACAAATATGATGAAATAATCAAAGAAAAGGCATTGTCATTAGATGTAAAGGAGAAAGCACACAGCGAGGAAACTCCGAAGTCAGATGATGAAAAGAATTCAGACAAAAACATCACTGAAAAAACACCGCGTAAGAAAAAGAAAGAAAAGTCTGTATTTACAATAAAAATGGAGAATGCCCTAAAGAAATCCTACTATCTTATAGATATCTTGTTGTCCTATGGGAAAGATGAATGTTCCCGCGTGCGCTGGAGTGGAAGTTCCGCAGTGACTCTAGTCATCCACAATACTGACAATTCCAACATCATCGACCGACCCATCTCAACAGTACCGGAGGTGGAAGAGGAGGTAAACAGTGAAGACAGAGCAGAGGAAACGGAAAAAGAGGACCCCAAGGAGGAGAGTGGAGGATTGGAACCACCCAGGGAACTTGGGATGATCTACCTGGCTAATGCAGGTAACTTTCTCCCCTTATTTCAGAGTACATGTATTGTGTAATTACCTGGGTGATATACATGTGTTACTATCATAACATATATTTTCACAGTACTACAGACATAGGACTTTTCAGTGTTAAATGAATATTCAAATGTTCTCCAAAAAATGTAAAGTGGTTTGGCACACCTTTTTATAATGAGAGTTGAATTAATTAATTACTAAATAGATATATATAAGATGGAGCATCAACATCTAGATTCCTCGTTTTATTTATGGTTTACATGTTTCGGCTAGCTAGACTATATAAATGAGAAACAATTTAGCCTAGCTAGCCGAAAACACATAATCTAGATGTTCAGATGCTCCATCTTTTATATATTTTGTATTCACCTACCGTGATGGATTCTACTGAATATGTTTGGTATCCATCTCTGATTCCTATATCCACCAACTTTCGACCATCAACAACCAGGAGGTTGGTTCTCCTCCACTCCAGGAGTCCTAGTTATACTAAATGAGCTACTGCTGTAGTCTTATTTTAGCACTTTTTGTGCTTTAAATATTGCACTAAAATATGGTTGTGCTGATTAAGGTTCCTCTACATTGTTTTGTATTTCATATTTGGCAGATGCACCTATTCATCAATGCGCTAATCTGTTAAAATTTGATAATGTGCTAAAATTCAAGTACACTAAAAATATGTAGGTTTACAGTAATTTGGAGGGAGGGGGATTCAACAGGAACTAGGCTCTGTGGCTGTAATATAGCTTTAAATACAACAAATATAACATATATAATGTGGGTCACAGAAATCCTGGTGGTGGGGGGCTCAATATCAGTAATATGTATACATACAACTTCTCGTTATATACAAGAAGAACTTATATGATCCAGCACTGTTGTCTGTATTTCTGTTTTACATAAGGAAATAATTATAACCACTTTAATTCATATTTGTTCTTTGAAATTGAAATAAAATGCCCTTCAGTTTTATTTTTGACTGCTGGGCAGAATACCAAAATGTATATATTTTTTATTCTTTTTATCTACAAATTTTTAGTCGTATGAGTAAAAGATATCTCTGTAATTACTATTGCCATGTCTATATAACAGGTTACTAACTCTATGCCTATCTTTCCCAGGAAATGTGCGAGCAGTGTTGGTGAGAGGAAACAAACCCTACACCCTCACAAAGGACCACTCACCTAACAACCCAAAGGAGAATGAGCGTATCCTCAAAGCGGGTAAGGCAAGGAATTAAATATTCAAAGGGTCGGACGGCCATTTTGGCTGCTGAGAAACCTTTAATTTTTTCAGAACTGCACATCCAAGTTAGCCACCATGATGGCTCTCTGATTGGTGGAAATTTTAAGATCTTGACCGATTTCTTTTAAAGGTTTATAGGTGTATTATGCCATTACAGCCAATAAAGTGACTTCTTTAAGCATTAATTACGATTTTCCATGGCCTCTGATTCGTTGAAATTTAGATTTTTACAGATTTATTTTAAATTTGGTGTATTATGCCATTTGAAACAATAGAGTGACTTCTGTTAACTGGAGGAGTTGTTTTAGGGTTTCTGTTACAAATAATTACAGAAGATAATTTTTCGTGAATTAAACATAATTCCACTTGGAGTTAATATTGGTTTGAACCCTATAAAGTGAAATTATAGTCCTTGTAATTGCACTTATAGATTTTAAACAAAAATTAAAAATAACACATATTTTGCGTGAGTTGAAAAAAATCCTGGTTGTAAGTAAGTAGCAGTCTCAGCTTTCCACAGACTCTTGCTCTCGAGACTTGCTACTCGAAAATCTGATCTGATTCTAATATTTTTGTGACCAACAGAGGTCGATAAACCAAAATGACGACTCCCATAAAATATTATTGTCTTTCCGTATCATGTTAGTAATACAATAAGCTAGGACACAGTGACATCTTTCAGTATAGCAAATTGTAGCTTTTTCAGTTGAAAACACTAACTTTCTTTTCGGTAGACAGGTATATATGTACTAGCATCCAGATTTTGTGATTATGTCTCTATCAGCCAATGATATGCGAATGATTTTTCATTTAGACTCGATATTAAAACGCAAAAGAAAACAAAATCTGGCCAGACTCTCAAATAGCAATTATATATATAGTAGAACGAGAGTTATTAGGAAATTATTGATATGGAAAGGACAAAAAAAAGAATATATGTGTAATTTCAGTTTCCCTACTCAGACCCTAGATTTGTTTTCCTTATTATGATCCTAAAGTTTCTATTGGCATTTAGTGATAAGCACTGTTAAAGTCAGAACTCCTGCTCTATATTACATAGTAAAAATATTTTCAAAGGAAAAAAATGTCTTTCCTACCAACCCTAATTTTTTCAAGCAGAAACAGGAAACATGCCTATTTTTTTTGGCCTAATAAATGTACCTGAAAAAGACTTCCGGTAGCCTGAACAACTAGTAACTGTGCTCTACAACCTTACCAGTAAGTACTCTCAATCCAGAAAACTTATAACTCTTTTACTCAAGATACTTTAATAAAAAGGATTTCCACAATAAAATTTTCTACATATATCAGCTAAGAAAAATAATGTAAGATTGAATTTTTTACCACCAGGGGGAGACATAAGTGAGAGCACCAAGGAAATGAGGGTCAATGGAGTGCTGGCTGCCACTAGGGGGTTCGGTAACCATGGAGACGTCAAACTGAAGCGGTGTGTGTTGGTGGATCCACACACGATTACAGTTCCCGTGGATCAGTACGCTCAGTTCCTCATCCTGGCCTCGCACGGCGTGTGGGAGGTGTTTACGGAACAGGAGGCCGCCTCGCTACTCTTAAAGGTGAAGGTCAATGTGGAGGCAGATGAACACTAAGGTCAAGAACTGGCCCTATTTTCATGAATGTATCCTATAATACGATTATAACTCTTTAACTTAAAAAAATCCCTAATGGATTAATATTTTTTTGTCATAAGAAAAGGTTACTTAACTAAAGGGACCTCTGTGGCCAAGTGGTTAAGGCATCTGATATTCTGCTACCACTAGCCCTCCACCACTGGGTCGCAGGTTCGAGACCAGAGAAGTTCATGGAGCAGTCGCCAGGTACTGGCCGTAGGTCGGTGGTTTTTCTCCAGGAACTTTGACTTTCCTCCACAACCAAAACATGGCACATCCTTAAATTACCATAGCTGTAATAGGAAGTAAAACTCAAAACAAACTGAAGTTAAGGGAAGTTTCTTTGACTCAAAATTTGTCCAATTCCAAGTGATGATTTCCAATAGAAAATATGTTAAAGGAATTTCCTGATTTTTAAAACTCCAGGGGACTGGAAAAAGTTATTATTAAATAGTCACTGTTTTAAGTAGCTGCGTGAACCGTAGCTTCTAGGCCTGATTTTTTATTTTATTTTTATTTTATTGTTATCGGACCATAGAGCTACGGTATTCATAGTGTAAAAAATTTGCGATTTTAGCGACTTCGACTGAGGTCAGGTAACAAGTCAACATACCGTAGCTCTATGGTCCGATAACAATAAAAAATAAAATTGAGCCTAGAAGCTACGGTTCCCACAGCAATGTTTTAAGATGCTGAAAATAAGCCTGTTCTGTCTATCGAAATTGTAAGCAAGACATGATGCTCCTTTTCCACAAGTGATTGTGATTCCAAAAGGAAAACATCAAAACAAAGTTCTGGAGACAAACTCACAAGCTGTTATACCCACAAATGTATCTGTATAGTGTTAAAAACATTTTTATTTTATCTTTAAAAAAAAAAATATGAAAAGAATCATCTATATATTCAAACTGTCTTAAAATGGAATCACTGTTTTCTGTTATGCACTGTACTTTCGTATACTCTATCAAGATAAATTGTGTATTTGAAAGATTATTAAAAATATATAGAGATTGTAAATTCATTATTTGTTTTGGAGCATTTACGATTTATTGAATTTTTTGTCTTTTCAGTTGTTGCCTAGCAACTTTATCCCAGCCCCGAGCACGGCCAGTTCTACCATCAAACAGTTGTTGAAGCCCAGCGCATCTTCAATTCAAGGAGGGACAGATCCTGGTCAGAGGCAGGTCTCCTTCTCGCAGATAGACAGACATTCCACCCCTTCCCAGGGGTCAAAAGAGGAGGAACTGGAGCTGGAACCCCAAGTTGAAATGGAGGTCAAGGTCGAACCCCAGACCCCATTTGAGGATGAACCACAAATTATAGCTCCAAAACGAGAAAAATTGAAAAGTGCTGGATCCATTATTTCAGAAAAATCAGAAAACTCAGGCAAGACACAAAAATCGGAGAAAAAATCTGAAAGGTCTTCAAGATCCATGTCTGCAAAATCTGTGAGGTCTGTGAAATCTGATAAAAATGGGAAGAGTAGGCTGGTCTATTATGACGACGACATGTTGCCAGAGATCGGAAGTCATGTGAGGCATTCAGACGATGAGGATTCTGGAAATGACGCAGATATTGAAACTGTCACAGACATTTTATCTATCCCAGCATTCTCCAGATTGTCAAGTTATGGTCGAACCATGAGCAGGGAACACATTCAAAGGGAATTTGCCAAAACAATGGCAGAACATTTGATACAGGCAGCTCTGCTGGCTGGGGCCAAAGACAATATCACTGTCACAGTTGTGTTGCTGGCAGGATGTGGATTGTAAAGGGACATAACTCTGATATCATATTGGTTACACTATCAGTTATCTGATACAAATGTACAAGGCCTTAGTACATGGTCTAACAGTCAATAGAACAGTTTGTATGTACTAATAAAAGTCCAAGGTGTCATCAAATAATCTGTGACTCATGGTAGAGGATGGCCTTAACTCATTTACCCCTGAAATTTCATAATGAACTATACAAACCTTTGAATTCGAAGAGTTCAAATGTGTCTTCAGGGGTGAATGAGTTAATACAGGACAACAAATTAGCATTTGCTGGCATTTCTACTTAACTGCAATAGATATGAGTGGGCTTATTACCAGGCATGGGCTTATTGATGGTTAAATATAGCAAGTAAAATAGTTTTATTCCCGAAATCGACATTTTATCGTGCAGGAAGAGCTTAATTTAGAGATGATTCTATCGTACTACTGTCAAATATTAAAAAAATAAAAAATGGAAGGTATTAATACCAAGCATGGTAGTTAACTCATTCACCCCTGAAGACACATTTGAACTCTTCCAATTCAAAGGTTGGAATAGTTCATTATGAAATTTCAGGGCTGAATGAGTTAATCAAGAATAAGATGCAAGGGTCGTTTTGGATTGTCTAACCTCCATGTTTGAGAGTATGACCAGATTGGTCAACAATTTTAACCTTTAACTCAGGTGCTGATCGGTGAGCCAATTTCCTACCATCCAGAACTCCCCTTTGTGGTCGAGAGCTGTAAATGAAAACATATGTCAGACATACATTGGTTTTGATGACTATAAAACATGTAAAATCTTATGAATGTCTGATTCAAATTATCACCAACCAATTTCAAGTGCAAATTTTACAGCTACCAAGTGCCACTTATTGGTACATTTTTCTTACATTAAACTGTAACTTGCTGTAGTGACAATCATGAATTTAATTCTGATTAAGGTAGACTTAAAAATAATAATGATGATACACTATGCTGATTGGGGTAGGGGGATGAGGAAGGTGTGTCTGTTTGGGGAGGGGCGGGCGGGGGAGGGTAAAGGGAGAGAATGACTCAGTTGTTGCAAATTCATAAGGTTGATATAATTCTATACATTTAAAATGGTGAAATTTTACATGTGCCTTAACTTTAAATGTTGAATAGATATCTATATTTAGGTATATGTGTATACATCGAAGAGCAAGTCTAAGTGACATTTCTGATTTGATCTGATGTCAGAATCCACACAGGAACTGAGTAGTTACTTTACTGTCATCAGAATCGTGGTTTGAAACCATTTTCCTGGTTTGATTGCTTTAAATTAATGCATTTCACTTAAGAATCCCCTGCAGGTTGTCTAATCCTGGTAGAAATCTGGCTGCAGAGTCACAATGGTATTTTATGTTAGGTACATGAATTATGTGTATGCACTTCATATACATATATATTGCTATGGGATTATTATACATAACTTAAGATCACAATAGTCTTATAATGTACACATAGTTATTAAATTGCATTTTAGAACATTTTTGTATTTGAACAAATAAGTGCATTGATGAATTGGCACGCCCACAATACATGTAACAGAAAACAATACACAGACTTTGTTTTGTACAATTATAATTTAGCACACTCTGTATATAGTGTGAAAAAAGTGTTAAAATAATATTGCCACTAAAATAAGATCAACACTAAATAAAATAAGGTTACCAATAAAATAATATGACAACTAAAATATGATTACCACTAAAATAAAATAAAGTTACCAATAAAGTAATATGACCACTAAAATAAGATCATCACTAAAATAAAATAAGGTTACCAATTAAATAATATGATCACTTAAATAAGATTACCACTAAAATAAGATCTTCACTAAAATAAAATAAGGTTACCAATTAAATAATATGACCACTAAAATAAGATTACCACTAAAATAAAATAAGGTTACCAATTAAATAATATGACCACTTAAATAAGATTACCACTAAAATAAGATCATCACTAAAATAAAATAAGATTACCAATTAAATAATATGACCACTAAAATAAAATACCACTAAAATAGAATTACGACTAAAATATGTACATTTACAGTATTCCGTCTTTGCGTATTGCAGAGTTATCTCCTCTTGTGAGCAGGTATTGATTGTTACGTCATTGGTTTGTGTGAGAAAATTACATTGTTTTCTCAAAAATTGATGACATTACTCTCAAAAACAAATTAAGTAACAATCAATACCTGCTCACAAGTGCAGATAACTCTGCAATACGAAAAGACGGAATAAGTAATCAAGATTCGTATTGATAAAGTTTGATTGCAGTGCCAAAGATTTTCCAAACATCAACTTAAGTTTGAAATTCCAGGCATAGCTTAAAATATAAGTTTTAATTCATGAAATATCAAGGGTAATAACTCTTGTAAAAGTGAAAAACATTTTTTTTGAATATGTACCATTTAGCATTTCAAAACTGAAAGTTATGTCTTTATGTCTAAGATTCATTTATTGAATTACACTAGGTATATCCCTTCCAAGATAAGATTCAGCATTTCTAAATAATTACAAGCTTTCATTTATAGATATATATTTATATATTTTACAAACTATATTACATATTTTCTTGATTAAATTTATGTATGTGTGCCTTGACTTTGTACAAAATGGAGGGTTCAATCTACCAGATGCAAAAAGTCTATATTTTACCAATTCAATTCAGTTCAATTTATCACATTTTTCATCCAAACAAAACACATTATTTATCTAGATAAATTAAATATTCCTTGTTCTTTAAGTTCAGTGGTATATTATGATATATGAAATGAGAATTGTAAATGATCGCGATAGACTTATCCGTTCATTCATTAATGTTAACGTAAATTAGATTTCAAAAATGTGATGTTTTTTGACAGAGTATCGAGTTGGGTTCTATCAATTGTCTTTAATCTTATATACAGACAGTAACGTTAACAGGTGCAGTCAGTCATTCATTCACCCCTGAAATTTCATAATGAACTATTCCAACCTTTTAATAGGAAGAGTCCAAATGAGTCCTCAGGGGTAAATGAGTTAACAATCGACCAGGTCACTTTTGTTATTTCGCTGTATTTTATTTTAGAAGTGTCGTTTTCAGAAATTTAGATAATGGCAATTCAAGTTGAGATCAACCTGCCAAATCAGCAAAATAAAGCTCTCACAAAAATAACCCACTATATAGTATCAATATTGAATTAATGATTTTGTCGGGAAAAATCTGCCCATATCATTGGATACATTATGACACTATATTGTTTCAGATTTGTTATAGAAGTTTAATATATATCAAAGAAGTTGGCTTTTTAATTGATTACTAGTAATTTTTAAAATTGTTCCTGTTTTTAAGAATTGTGAATTTTTTCTTTAGAAATTTGAAACAGGTTTTAAGGTGTTAGAACATGTATTGCTATCTAATTAGACATGGATTTTTTAATTGTAATTTTTTTTAATTGTCCATTTTCTTTTTGAATTGGGATCTTTTAATGTAGAAAATTTGAAAATGGGTTTTAAAGTGGTATTATGTGTTGATGTCCCGTAAAAATCTGATCGTCCTTTAGCTTGATTATTGTTGAGAAGATTGTTATGATGGTGCCTTACATGTTGATTGAATATTATACAATTTCCTGCCTTTGGTTACCATTTTGTGTTTTTTATACTATCAGTAAACTTCACTTTAAAAAGTGAAGACTCGTAATTATGATTTCGTTCTTATGTTCAAGTGCTAATTCTGCTAAAGCCAAATTTCTTGTGACTCGTGAAAATTATGCAATAAAGTCAAATAGTCTAGAAGTTGAAAATACTATTCGGTTTGAAGATGCTCCAAATCATTTAAAATTGTGACATTTATATAATGTCACCATACCAAGGTTGAGCATGGAGTATGAGTTGTGCACGAATAGTTTCATGAAAATGGGCCTAATTCACAGCAGACAATCTCAACAGACCTTGAAGCTGTAGATATTTTTTGTCCAAGGTGAGTATTGGTTTCATTTCCTGGTTGGGTGCCCACAGGTGTTTGTTATTTTCATGTGCCAATTAGTCTAGGTATTCAATATTGTGATAGCTTTATTATTTTTTCACATCATTTCTATATTTAATCTGTCTCATTTTGTATGGTTCATTTACAGTCAATATATTACTGTTATTTATTTTTGCTATATGTTTGATGTTGGTAATCAGGTTGAAACAAAAATTACCTTTAATTATTTTCATCATTCCTTTTCTTTGCTGTGGCCAAGTTGTTAAGACGTCTGACATTCTGCTACCATTAGCCTTCAACCACTGGGTTGCGGGTTCGTGACCTACGTGGGGCAGTTGATAGGTACTGGCCGCAGGTCGGTGGTTTTTCTCCGGTAACTCCACCAGCAAAACCTGGCACGTCCTTAAATCACCATAGCTGTTAATAGGACATAAAACACACACAAACAAACAAAATCTTCTCAAGTCTTTATTAACCCTTTCACCCCTATGTAGATCTGGATGAGTCCATTATGGTCTACAGTGGTGAAAGGATTAAATGTGCACCTTAGAAGATCAGAGGCATAAGGGCAAACAATTCTGTTTTAACTGGAAAATCCAGGGTGATTTTTGTTTTATACATACTATTTGTTTGTCAAAGTTTTCTGTAAAATGTCGTATAGATGTGATTGTCTTTGATGAGCTTTTTTTCAATTTGTTATAATGTTATGTAAATATTTTTTAGAAATATATAAGGGCTGTGTTTTTAAAAGTTTTAAATTTTCAAAATATATTATATACAAACTCAATAAATTATTCTGATTGTATGACTCAAGTGTTTGTGGTTGTTTTGATATAAAATATAATACAGTTTAATAGAATTTTAAGAGGATTTAATAGGATATTAGTGGATGCAGGCATTACTGCCTCTATATCCACATCAATATAATTTGAAATACATTGTGGTAAACATAAGATATATAGGATCTTAAATGTGTTTTCATTTCATATGAGATTTTATGAAACGAGTCTTAAGAGTTTTTATTTTTGCGAGCCTTGGAGAGCAAAAATTAAAACTTCGAGAAGAGTTTCATAAAAGCTCATATGAAATGAAAACAGATTTAAGATACTTTTTGTCACATAACTCAGAAAACTTACATTTTGACAGGTTTTAAAGCCAAAATAGGGCTTAATCAAACGGAGACGGACATTTTGTTGTGCCATTCACAATTTATGACATCACGTCATTGTCCATATCATGACGTCACAATCGATTTCTGACTGGCACAACCAATGAAGACGCTCCAGGGTATATTAAAATAGTGACATATGTAAAAATATTACACTGGCGAATTCACTGGATAAACAGGCCGATTATGTGATAAAAGTCTATATATATAAGCCGCTGTATGATTGTACTTTAACTGAAGATCTTTCCAGATTTTCTCTGAATCAAATTCATTCTGAGATGAAAAAACATCTTGTGGGAGACTAATTTAGATATCAATTATTCTTGGAGTGAAGTAACCTTGTTTATATTTAAATGACAATGTTGTTTGAGTATTTTTTACTGTGTCCATGAGTTTATGCCAAGCGGCGAGATAAAACAATCCCCCCACCAAATTTGGATTGTATAGTCCATTCATAAACTTGAACACATTTATCATATTTTCGCGTCTGTATGTTAGAGTTGGAAGCTTCAATTGGCATAGTGTCACGCGATAGCTAATATTCTTAAATCCAGGGAGTAATTTTGTAGATCTCCTTTGAATGTTCTCCATCTTTTCGATGTCCTCAATTATTTTCAAGACACTTGAGAGAAACATTTTATATAAAATTGATGATACGTCCTCCAGGATTGGGAATCTGACATCAGAGCTGTATTATACAATCTGTAAAACGATTGGTATCTGATCTGTTGTCACTTCACGTAAATTTGATCAATGTACTGCAATAAGCCTAAGAGGCAGCAGATACACTCCCACTCAAAGTAAGGGGGTGGGCTTATCACAGGACAATGGAATATTTTTGCTGCATTTGTTACCATTTGTAACCGAACTGTATTCGACATGGGTGGGCTAATTACCAGGCATGGGCTAATTGATGGATAAATAGTTACAGTATGTAAAACACCTCATATCTGACCACCTCATTTCTAACAAGTGTCTATTATAGATTATTTTGTTCTTTTTATTTTTGTGATTTTGAAAAGATAGCGATCATTCTGGTTTTTAAATCTGCCCAAGATGTCTTGGCCAAAACAAGCACAGCCTTTTTTAACTTCCTGTTAAACAAAAAAAAACAAAAAATCTTATATAACAGTTTATTTTTTATTAATTTGGTTCACAGATTTTTAAATACAGTGAAAATTCACTATTAATAACTTAATTTTTTCTGAATCCGGTAAAAATAAGTGACATTTTTAGGTCACCTGAGACAAAGTCTCAAGTGACCTATTGCGATCGCCTTTTGTCCGTCGTCGTCCGTCGTGCATCCGTAAACAATTTACATTTTCGACTTCTTCTCCAAAACCCTGAACCAATTTCAATGAAATTTTGCAGGGACCTTCCATGGACAAAGGTCAACAAAAATAGTGGCCGGTTTAGTCCCAAGCCCCCAGGGGCCAAAAATTTATTATGGTTTATAGTGGCAAATGATACTTTGAATATTACATGTTAATAACTTGATTGGAATTATAACCTTGAGTTGACAGTTTGATACTTTGAAAGTTTTGAGCCAGCCCTACCCCCAAGAGAAACCTCAATTCAAATACTTTTTAGTCTGAAATCTGTATGCTAGATATTGAATAAGGTGGTTTTTATTGTTTTTTGTCACTTTAAATAATATTTCTGTTCATGTTAAAAACAAAATCAACTCTCTGTATAAATCAGGTGACCGTTAAGGCCCATGGGCCTCTTGCTTTTTAAATTTTCATAATTTTCTGAGAAAAACTGACAAAACGGCCATATTGATGACCTACCGGTATTGAAGATTTTCACAGGTAACTTCCCAGCAATTGCTAGAACTCATTTGTAGTAATGGGCATACAGGAGCAAACACTGTTATACATATATTAAGAAACAAAACACAAAATAAGATATATATTTATCTATTTTATTTCATTTTCAAGACATAGGGCGGAAGTTTATTACAAAAGTAATTCAAAATACAATGAATAGTCAATACACAGGATATATTGTATTTTAAAAATTGAACCATATTTACAAGTTGGAAAGCTAAAAGTAAACATTTATTTATAATTTAAAATATCTAAAACTAAAAATTTAAAATCACTCAATCTAAAGTCACCAGTCTTATCACAGTTTGGCTCTGACAGCTTGGACGGAATACAGGTTATGTAAACTTAGGTCCATAAACATAAAAATAGCACATGAAACTACATTCTGACACATACAATATACATTACATGTACAAAGATCTATTACATTTTCATTCAAAAGTGATTATCTTTACCTTTCCAATTTTAGCAATATCCATTTTTTTCAGAAATATGTCAAAGGCGGAAAAGGGAATATAAAAATAAACATTACAGTACACAATCCACTTTCAAAGAAATGAAGTTTTCTCTTTATGAAAAAGAAAACATCGAGAATATAGTAACATCATCTTCAAAATATACAGCTGAACACCAATAACATAGAACAATGGGTGGGAACTACAACGGATGGTACTCATAGGGGTGAAGGTGACTGTAATGAAATTAAGTATTAGAAACAAGTGTCTTATACACAAAACTCTCGTCAGTGTTTACCTAGTATACTTGTGAATATGCCAACGTGCTGTGCCTATTGAAATAGTCTTTCAATCTTTCAAGATGAAAAATTGATAAAATAGTCTATTCAATTAAAAGTGTATTTCCATCTTTCAAGAAAAAAAAAGTTAAAATAGTCAACTGAAATAAAAAAAAAATGTGTTTCAATCTTTCAAGAGAAAAATTGGTAAAACAGTCTATTGAATTCACAAACTGTATTTCAATATTTCAGAGAGAAAATCTGGTACACTAGAAGCTGAAGGAAACAAATATTTCTGGTTGAGATTCAATATTTCAAGAAAAACACAGGTAAAATAAAATCTTGATTAAAAAATCAGCGCTGTGATGATAAAAGTTTAAGATTTTCCCTTTTCACAACAATATCATTCAAAGCTAAATGTAAATTTTCAATAATTGATAGTGTCTCCAGTGAAAACATCAAAATTAGACAGTACATTTCAAAACAAATTGCATTTATAAATTTTGTGCTGGAACTAAATAAGGGAATGATTTCCTCAAATCCTCCATTGTATTCAAATATAATGCTGTTAGCATAAAAGTTTTGATTTCTTTCAACACCACAAAATATAATTCATTAAAACAATTAACACTAACAAATGAAACATTAAAATACTGTTTTGCTTTGTTTTTATACTTTACAAGATATTTGCATGCAATGCTTCAATGTGTGTCAACACAGCACAACAGATTTCATCTGTAACATTTGGCTTCAATGCTTTTTTAAAATACTGAAAACTTTTTGAAAATCATATTCATTCGTAAAACATTAAAATCTTCAAATTTACGTGTTCGTAAATTTTCATTCTTAGAAAACAATCTTAATTCTTGCATAACATAATATCATGTGCAAAAAAGCACATTTGCATATCATTAATTTACGAAATACTGCAAACATGACATCTGAATTTTCCTGATCTGTTTCCACACTGAGTCTTAATGCTTTCGACTACTTTATAGATTAATAACACATAACAAAACGTTTTAACCTTGCATAATAACGTTCTTAATAAGTTAAATACTGATCATGATAATTGATTGTTATAAGATCTAACACTTAAATACAGTGATACCCTTAACTGCATAGAGATACCCCTAATATCACATAGCAATGCTGTATGCCGTGAAATTTTTGCAACAATTTTAACTTTCACCTTTTTTCGCCTTCCGTGATGCGGGCAAATTTATCGTGGCAGCGAATAAAAACACACAATATGCCATAGATAGTAAACACATACGAAAGGCAAAATTATTACAGGTTTGATAAAGATTTTACCGGTGAACGGCAAAGTTTCCAGTAAACAGTATCGGAATTTTTAAGCAGACTACAAGAAATTAATAGCTATTTTTTATGTTCTTTTACTTCAAGTATTCATTAATACATATTTCCTGTAAATGCGACAGTAGCTTGATTTAATATTAGCATTACTTTCTTATGTACAATAAACAATTCTGGAGTAAAAATTAAATATCTACAATATGTTCCGTTTCATTCTGTAATTGAAATTAATGTAATAGCGATAATATAGTTACTAATATGGGATATTCATTATATTAATAAAACCGATTTAAGGGTGTATCCTACCTTACGCACATGCGATTAGTGATAGAGTTATCTACCTTACACATGTGATTTAACAGCCTGAGTATATTGGAATGATGAAAATTGCCGCAGAAAATACTTCATAAATAAAATAACATATGTATATTTTGAAGTAATTAAATGACATACACATGACTTTCTACTGATATTCAATGGAATCAACAGAAAATTATTTTACTACATGTATCTCACCTTCTTTATTACTTTAATTCTTCTCTAACTCACCTGTTATGAGTTTCTTTCTCCTCTGTATCATTTTGGAATGAAAAAAAGTCCTTCTTTCATTTCTTTGATTTGTTCATTATACACAATGAATCATCAACAATATACTTCCAATACCAAAGAATTCATTGACAATTCGCTTTAAGTTTTAGAGTTTATAAAATCGAATTTCATACTTTGATTAACAACAAATTTGCATTTCACAATCTGCCCAGCTTCCCTTATTTCAATGTTTATGAAATATACAACTGCTTCAAATTTAACAATAATTGTGAAATTATGGTCCGATGACCTTTAACCTAAATGAGCGTAGATCATGATGACCTTTAACCTAGATGGCGAGTGGGTGTTTTCCTTCCAGAACTTTGTTGGCAAGCACGTCATCAAGGACGCCTCGGAATGACTCCACACTGACGTGACCTTTCGGATGCTGCTTGGCAGCTGTCTGGTACAAGGCCTCAACATTTGCTCCAGTCATCTTCACCCCAACACTGGTGAAGATTTCTTTAATCTAAAATTATGAAAAATAAATATTATTACAATTTATAAGGAATTATTTTGAAATATACCAATAACTTAACCACCTGTTTGTAAAATAATTTTCTAGCTGAAAAAAAATGAAAAAAATGATAATAATGGAACTATTTGAAAAACTACTGCTAAACTGTATACTGCGAAGCATTCACGCAGTTAAATGTTTGCCCTTCATCAGTAAAATCTGTAATTGTCTAGTGTTAATTTCGCCCTTTACATGTAATTACCATATACGGTAACTAATATTTGCTGTCATGATAAAATCGCCCTCATTATGGAAGGCTAAAATAGCGGAAGTTAAAATAGAGCAAAAATGTTCCTGTAAATAATATATTACTAAGCCTATGTGCTAAAATGAACTTTTGCCAGCTTACTGATGAATCACTACAATAGTACGATTGTTCAGCAGCGATAATAAATCCACGCAAGAGTCCTGAGTCCAATTTTCATAGAATTATGGAAATACTTCAATTTAACATTGTGGGACCCATTGGTTTTAGCAATACAGTTGATAAGGACCCACGAAAATGAATTGTAGATTGATCACTGCATGGTTCAGTATTTCTTATAAAGATTTTTCATTTCTTTTTCCTAAGTATCATATATTTGAGGATCAATTATTATTTTATAGGTATTTTTTTTAATAAATTCACCTCACATTTTTAGTTTCTAAATATCTGAATATATACAACTCTCACCTCCTCTAGTGTACGAGGCAGCAGGAAGTCCTTCTCAAACACGCCTCTACGGCTAAACATTGAGGGATTCATCAGCCCATATGCATCTGACTCATCCCCGTAGTTCTTCCGATCGTCCACCCGTCGGATCCTCGGACCTGGAAGGTCTGTTCGGATGGTTGGGACACCATATGTCCTGAAATCTGAAAATTCAATCAAAACATGAAATTTATCTCCTGACATCTTTATGATTCATTTTTAAGTTATCACTGGAAAAATGACAGCAGGTAAAACAAAAATACACGAATGAATGAAAATTGTGGTACAAGTAAATGAGACCAAGTATACGACGGCCTTCTAAACATGGAAAGCAAAATAATATTTTTTTCATGTTAGTTAATTTTTTGGTGATTACATGTTGTATCGTTATTTCACCACAACAGACATATTGTATTGATCAGAAAGAGAACTGCAAATTCAAACCTAAACTAAACGTTTATAATGTATTTATTACACATAAATAGCACTGTTCAACATCAAAATACGTTAAGCATGATCTTTAAACCCATACAGGTGATTTTTAAAAAAAATATCTAAACAAACTGAAATATGAAATTAATTCATTTCAATTTAGTGAATCACTTACTGAAAGGTTACTTTCGTAATAATAATTATATACGATCAAATTTGAAAGCTTGCAAGTTGTTTCTTAACAGAGTATTGCTTTAGAATAAACCGTTTTGTAGGGAGGAAGAATTAAATGGTGGTCTCTTTAGAGAGAGGTTTGTTTAATAGTTTGTAAGTGTAGTACCTCTCGTGTCCACACCACCGATGACAGCATTGATCATACTAGAACTGGTGCGATGATTGCCGATAGCCATGTCAATCTGTTTCTGTAGCCGGCGAGGGGTATTCTCCGCACTCTGGGGGGTCTTTGGGATGAGGTCCTCTTGGGAAACTCGTACTTCGCTTCCTGAGTGAGGGGTTCTGGCATGGGGGCTAGGGGCAGACTTTGGGGTCATGGGTGTTTTCGGAGGTTCTGTACATTAGACATGAAAAATCTTATCAGATAGTGAATTTCTTGATTACATAAGTCTTAACACCGAACATTTACATCTTTGAGAGAAAAAAAGTTGGAAAAGCCTGATAAATTTCAATTATAAATCAAAGTCAGGATTTTTAGTCTAGAAAGATATCTGACTTTGGTATATATTTGTAATTGAGTGTCTCAAGATCACCAATCTGAATTGGTTTTCTATTTGACAATGGTGATTTCCAAAAGGAGTCATCCTACAAATATTAGAATTCTTGGTTCAGTAATTTTGACAACTGGTTACATTTTTTGATGTCCTAACTTACCTGTCTTGGGCCCAAAGCCAGAAGCCATCTTGTCTTTCCAGTTAAGGAAATTAGAAAACTCCAGGTAGTCTATACAACCATCCCTGTTTGTGTCACAATAGTCCATAAGCTGTTCAAGTAGTTCTGGCTCTACAGGTAAATGATACTGGAGGCAAGCTTCTCGCAGACCCTCCATCTTGATCATCCCACTCCCATCCTACAACAATTGATACAGGTGAGTCGAGGTTAAAAAATCAGCTTTGAATTAGTACATTTGTACTTGTGATGATAATGTATTGGTTTACATATAGGGGATCATCCAGAAAGTAAAATGAGGAGAGGGGTGTTTCCAGGTTGTAAGTACACTTTTTGATTTTTCAAATAACTTATGTTTATCAGTAAATGCTAGGGTTGTACATGTACGTACGTGGCTGTATTTTCATCTTCAATGCAGACATCTGCTGTTATTTATGTATATACACTCGGTTATTCGCATACATTTGGATTTGATCACTAGATTCAGTGACTTAGTTAACAGAACTTCACAAACCATTACCTTCTTTTCAAAGATTTACTGGAAAAATCCAGTGACTAACTATTAGATCAGATTTGAAAATTCCATTACTTTTACTGTACTTACTGCTACCTGGGTTTTAGAACAGCACTTTTCTCATACCTCATCTTTATTGATGTCTATAAATATAGCGGGTTTTTTTCAAATGTAGATTTTGTTTTATTTGTTGTTGTTGTTGTTGTTATTTGTTGTTGTTGTTGTTGTTGTTGTTCATGACAAGTGGACAAGACTAGAATAAATGATCTTTCAGATCTATCAACTGAAAATGACTATAATCGATCAGAACTAAAGACTCAGTTCTTCCTGCTGTTCAGACCACTTCATACCTTGTCATATTGTTTGAAGGCTGCCAAAAGGTCATGGAAATTGTGGTAGTTGGCCTTCTTCAGATGTTGTCTGATAGCAGCCATGACACCGCGCTGTCGGTCCTTGCCCCTCAGGTATGACCCCGGGGGTCGCATGTGTAGTAGGTCTCCCGCACCATACTCATCAGCCTTGACCAGGATCCCAAAGGTGTGATCTGGGGCGACCTTCAGGGTGTCCTTGATTCTGTGAAAATATATGTTAGAAATACTAGATTATAATGGCAATATCAGATGGTAAACTATTATTAGATACAGAGATCTTGTTTATATGCCTGCCTTTGGTGTCATCCTGTCTGTCCACCCAACTGTTCACCAATTTGTCCATCAGTGTCAGCATGTAGTTAATGTCAGCAGCTTCCTCACTGAAAGTGTTCAGCCATGAAACAATACAAGCAAGAGGGGGGGGGGTCGGTCCTAGAAGCAATCTCATGTGTTCTTGGAACTCTGTTTATTTAGTCTAATTATTATCAAGTAAAACCTGAGTTTTTATATGAAAAATATATAATATATAATTTTGTTCTTCACTATGTAGTTTTTGATTTACATAAACCTTCGAGATTTATCAATGTGTATAGACATAACATGACAACACTATTTTATCAGACTAAAATTTTGAAGATGATATTTTTTATTTATTTGTTTATTTATGCAGGGTCCATATTAAAAAAGAAAGTGATAAAAATATATGATGAAAAAAAATAATCTTGAAGATTTTGGTGTATGCCTGAGCATGCCACTGGAATGCCAAGTTTATATGTTAAAGTTCAAGGTCACAGCTACAGACAGGTCATGTGATGATGGCTTGTCCAAAGGCTCCTGAATAAAGTTTTTACTTTTCAAATGAGTTTTATGAAAGTTCACACTAGTATAATTCCTGATGTCTGTCGACTGGAAGTCTTTATATGATAATGGTAAAATTTAAGATACCTGTCCAAAGATTCCTGCCTTCTGTATTCTACGAAACTACATAAAACTTCACACAGACATTCCTGACATAAATTCTGGCAGCATTTTTAAGGTTGAGGTCATGTTTTCAAGGTCAAAGTCCTTGCTAAATAATCTTAAGTAAGGGTGGAAAACTTGCTTGTCCAAGTATTCCTGACTTTAATTAGTTTTTAACCAAAATTTATGAAACTTCCCAAAACTATTTCTGACATCAATCTCTGGAGACCAGTTAAAGGTCATGGTCATATGTTTAAATTCAAAATCTCAGCTACAGAGTCTTTCTTTGATGATGAAATTTGTTCAACCAAACTTAATAAAACTCACGCCACACTTTTTAATCGTGTGACACAGCAGTGCACTGCTTGTTTGGATATTGACACAGTTGATCTTAAACTTCCATCATTATCAAATAATAAAAACATGTGATAATTGTTATTTAGTATTTATTAATCTGGATTCCATAATGAAGTTGCTATGCATATTGTGTACTGCTTGTGGTACTCTTGTGATATCAATATGTCAGTAATCTTTAGATTCATTAAGCTGGTTAAACTGGCTCAACAGAACACTTAAAACTCTCCATTTATTTTCAAAACTGAAACAGCAATAAGTGATAACTAAATGGACATAGTAAAGGTGGTCACTGAATAAAAGTTTGAATGTACGTCAGCAAATATAGATGGCCTCTATATCAGCAAATACCACTAAATACAGGTGACTTCTATATTCAGGTGACCTCTAAATACAGGTGACCTCTATATACAGGTGACCTCTATATACAGGTGACCTCTAAATACAGGAAGATACCGATTACCTATATCATGCACAGTTGATCTCACCACCATAAAATAAATGAAGAAATTTTCTTACGGATCATGGACAGATCCAAGCTGGGGCTGTGTTCTTTCTCGGAAATCGTCGACACGTTTTGACACAATTTTGGTGGCCTTTTCCTGCTGGGCTTGTGACATCCATTTAAGAGTCTGGCGTGTCCGCCTTCCATCGTTACTGTGAGGTGTGGGAATTCCAAACTTTGAGTTAGGGCTGAAGCCCATGGAGGTATAGTTCCTCCTGTGCTGCTCGCCTACATCATAGTCACTGTGTGTGTTTCTGTACAACTCGTGTCCCACAGCCGATTCTTGTTCTACTTCCGCATACGTTTTATTGGGATTAATTAGTCCACCTGCACCAATATCTGAAAAACAACAAAACCAATCCTATGATCAAGTTGGTCAACCATTGGTCAGTTAAAACACCTGGCCAATACATCAAGTTAAAATTTTACCTATTTTAAAATTAACTAATATTATTAGTTGCATAACTAGGGTAGAATAATGACAAAAAACACAAACAGAAAATTGGGAATTCACCTCATTAGTTTTAGTTTTATGGGAAATGTTTCATATTTAACATCAGGATCATCATGCAATTATTTCATTTAATTCAAAGTTTTTAATTAAGATTATAATTTAAATATATGAAATCAATCTTTCCTAACTACAGATGCATAACAACACTTGGTGATTTGTTAAATATAACAAAGATTTTAAATAACAAGCCAATTGTTTTATCTGCCACCTTGGACTGCATAAGACATTATCAGACAAGTATCACAGCGACTGCTTACCTAATTCTGTTGGAATTCCAAATGTGAAATCATCTTTATTAAGGCCCTTAGGCAGACAAGGGGTCTGATTGTGTGATGTTCCAAGAGGACCTTTTTGATGACTGGCATAGATAAATTCCTTCCTCTCAAACTTTTTCTGTTGAAACAAAGTTTTTGGGTGGGGGTTGGCCAGCTCGCCCGCGTTAGCAGAAGACTGTGTGTTGATACCATGACACATGTCCTTTGCCCATTGACGATGAGGGTCGGAAGCTTTGCCATAAAAAACTCTCATCTGACCAGCATCTGGTCTTAATGTGGCTCTGAACCGACGAATAACATCTGCGGAAGGAGGCTGAAAAATTATGAGTTGGATTTTTAAATACAATCAAGACTATTTTATTATTTCAACACATGACTCACATTTAAATAAAACAGAAATGTCCCTTCTGAAACTATACAATAAACTATTGAAATTGGCAATATGCTTATAATTACAACTTAATCAACTCATTTCAGATAACATAAATATCCAAACATCTCATTCTTCTCCACTTAATATACTAGTCTACATTATGTTTTTTGTTTCTTAATCTCATAGCCTCTCCTGTCATGTGAGTTTCACATTCAGTTAAAATTAAAATTACAATACATGTATTTTTGTTCACGCCAGACAAGTTTTCACATCACTTACACATGATATGTATATATACAGTGTATAAACTTTCCATACACACAACTTAAACAATAACTTAGTAAATGCAATAAATTAAGTATCTTTGCTTGATGCAAATGCATTGAAGGGATCATAATCATGTCAACTAAAAGGTGTGTACTCACCCTTTCATCTTTCGGTTTCAGACATGATAATGCTGAATCACCTGTTGTTGTTAACTTTCCTGCCTAAAATAAAAGAATATTTCCATAAAGTTGATGCTGCCATCAGAATCTGATATAGTATCTGCCACAAGAATTTGTATTGATATCACGCCATCAATAATATAGTAATTATAAGATCTTAGATATGTTTTGGCACTGTCTGCATTGTTTTTTTTATTTAAATGTAATTTTAGCATGGCATGATATATTGGGTGAATGACAAAATAAAATCACAGGTGAAATACACGCACGTTTCATATTAGAGATCCCCTCCCCCCCCAAATTTTCCGACACTCATTACTCGATTATATATAAAACACACAGTTCCATACATGTAGTAATACGATTCTCTGTTAAATACTTACTGGTCTTACATCTGGAGACCAATCCTTGCATTTCCCTGCATAAATGCCAGTCGTCTGTATTCCTGGTAATGTTACTGAAGACATGTTGTATGTGCACCTCTGTCAAACAAGTTGACACGAATCAATGTTACAGTAAATTACGTTTCCACTATATAACGGATTCAATACGTATTCTTTCCTTCTGCCATTTATCGATAAATTCAATACTTTTTTAAACTGTCCCCTTTATCTGAAGGCTGTTACCCGACGATAACGCGGGTGAACCCCTTCGAGAAATTGCGGAACCTGCAGCTTCTTGACACTTTGTTGATAAAGCCTTAGCAACAGAGGTAAGGTCATTGATAAAATAGCTTCCGGTGTTGTTTTCGTATCTAGTTCAACACTAAAATGCTTAAATTTAATACAAATGATATATTTTCTATGCTAACATATAACAAAGAATAATTATTGAATATAGGGTGAAATTGTATGCGTAACAATAGCTACTTTATAAATTAATTATTTAATTACCTTTTTCAGGGGAGATAACCCCTACAATGATGTAATTAGGTGGCAAACTATCAAAGTTGTATAACAAACACTGCAACATTTTCTGTGACATGACCACCATTTCAAATAAAGTATGTGTCTATTTCATTGAATTTTAATTACCACTAGAAATAAATTTACGCTGTGGAACTAACCGGCATCGGAGAGATAACAACCTACCCTATTTGCGACCACTTCATCCTCGATATCCAGTGGTTACGCTCACTTTCGCTCTTCGCCAATCTCATTAAAATCAGATGTTAATAAAAAATAAATACCTACGGCTATTAACATGCGGTACGTGATAATGAACAGCTGTATTTATTCAGATTGGCTCTTTGCACCTCTAGCAAAATCGAAGGCTCGATGAGCAGCACCTTGAAGATGAGACTAGAAGAATAGTTTGATCCTTTGATGTACACCAAAAGAATCTCGCGGTCACGTAACGGTAAAAAATGACAGGCTTTTAAGTCGGGCGTCTCTCCTTTGTAATCTTCAAGGGACAGGTATCAGCCTAGCGATTGGTCAGGTGTTGTTTTTTTATCTGAGACCAATCAAACAGCTATCTTCGTGCCTTCAATTTTGCTATGACATATTCCAGGGGTGCAGGGAGCGAAAGTGAGCGAAACCCTATGGATATCGAGGATGCAACCACTTGGGATCGAACCAAACTCTTTCGGGAGTGAGTGGTCTGAAGCTAACACTTGATTGCACACAGTAGAAATGGCTGTGCGCGTAAGCGAAATGAACTGGTAGAATTCTAAGAAAAAAGTAAATAAAGTAATTAAACCGTTTCGATTTACTGATTTGCTGTATACAATTCATATTGTTTCATAGTTTTGTTGTTTGTTAGAGTATTTTTTTATATAACATGCAAGTTCCATGTTCTGTATACGTACTTTTCTGTGTTCCAAAAACATGTATGACAGAGCACAGATGAAAGGAAGAAAGGAAAGAAAAGAAAATATGAATGGCGCAAAAAGTCGAATATTACAACCGAAAACATAATGGGTATGTAAAAATATTATTTCGAAAACCATATTTCCATATTTTTTTACTAATAATTGACATATCATGTGTTATGTAGTCATTGTGTTATGACGTCATGTGATTGTGCTATTCATTCTACCCTCGGAGGTGATGATTTTCATACTGGAACAGAGTAGCCGTACATTATCCTGTCTAACAGATCCAAAACGCTTGAATTAAAGTAACGCTTCTTAACAATATAATTAGGGTTTTTTTAACCGTTATATCTTTTTGATAACTGTTCAAACGTGTTTTTTACTCTCAAATTTTGACGGGCTATGTCGAAAACAATAAAAACGTAAAGTTAGCGTTAGTAAAGTAAATTAAGTGTGTATGCGTCAAAATGGGACCGCTTTAAATAATACAGTATAGGTTTAATACGCTACACGTGAATGAATGCGCTAACTAGTCAAGGTTTGTGAACACCTGAAGTCCAACTGCACGCATGTAAGGTGGAATAATAGCATGCAAACAACATAATGTGGTAGTTTAACGCATTAATTCGCGAGCGCGTTGAGCCAGTAGCAGTTAAGGTCGAAAAGAATGAGAACAGCAGGAAGTAGTTTAACGAGATATACGTCTCTGGTTAAACGCTGTGAATTCAAACGCATTCAATTAGTAAGACACGTGACGCTAACGCGTTAGTATAGCTCGTTTCATTAATTAATGGTAGTCATGCCCTGCGCAAATTGGTGTCATGTTTGTCAAAATTATCACAAAACTCACTAAACATATCCTTCATTGTGTGAACAAACCGTAGCAGGACTTGATCTTATATGGTCCAAACTTCAAGGAACCGACAAAAACGAAATGTTTAAAGTGTATTTTATTTAAGGTAAACACGCTTGATACTTAATTGAGGATGATGGAAGTTAAAAGAGAAATAATAATTTAAATGTATCCAAATTGTTTGGACTTCATATCTACAAATATTTAGATAGTATGCATTGCAACTTAATATTACTCTATATACAGGCGCAGACCGAGATACTTTTGAGGTAGACTCGAGTGTGCCAGTAGAGTGTATTTTTTAGTGTACAAAGTTATAAAGAAAGACGCAAATTAACTACTTCAAACGTTTTATCGACCAATCGACGAGCCAGATGCAGTGCGTGACACGCTGAAACAACCGTTCGGTTTGTGGGCGTGTTCTCTTTGAACACGGCTTGTTGACGCCGTAACGATTTTGATTTTATCAACAATCTTAATACGGAACAAATCATTTTTCAAAGAGCTGCACTGATGCCTGAGTTTCGTATGTAATATATTTAAATTGCGTTCGCCAAAATTATAATAAGATGGTGGAGACGAATTTGCACCACTAGATCTAGCAGATTTAAAAGTATTTAAAGATGGTAATGTTCTTATTGTATTGTCTAACGAATTCCAAAGACGTAAACTTGATGGGAAAAAAGAAGAGTTGCTTGAGGAGAGTCTGAAAGAAAATATATTGTAAATTAGTAATCATATTGGTTCCGTAAATTGGGTCGATAAATAGCTGGGGGTTACATTGTTTTTCATTTTATATAAAATATTCACCTTTCGCGTTTTTCTCCTCTCTGATAATGTTTCTAAACCCGTTTCAAAATATAGTGAATCATTACTTGTATAATAAGTTATCTAGCATATATGCTCTGTAAGTTTGTGTGTGTGTGTGTGTGTGTGTGTGTGTGTGTGTGTGTGTTTCTTTTCATTATTATATGTATTATGAAAAAATCGTCGAAAAATAAACAATTACAAAAAAACAAAACAAAAAAGAAGGCAGTCCTGTTATAACTCGAGCCGCCTCTGAGCTTTCTCTAATTTCACGGATTCAAAAGCAGTGCAACAATCCCATAATTCACAGGCATATTCAAAAACTGGTAAAATGAAAGATTTATAATTTTTTAAAAGTGAATCTCTTTTCAACAAGTATTTGAGTTTTCGTAAAACATTAATCTTTTTCATAACCGGACTATAAACTGCCTCAACATGACTCACCCATTTTCCATTTGAATTGAAATTTACTCCTAAATGTCTATGTACGTCTGTAAAAAAAAAAAAAATCCCATCAAACATCAAATCCAAGTCATCGTCAATATCGTTTGCATTTGAAATAAAAACAACGTCCGTTTTTTGAGGATTAAAAGAAACCAACCAACGTTTAGCCCACTGATTTAAAGATTCTAGGTCCTTGTTGAGAACAGTCTGTATTTCATAGAATGAAAAAGCAGAATAAAGTAAGGATGTTTCATCTGCAAATAACCTGGATGCCGAATCAAGTACATCAGTAATATCATTTATATATATCAAAGAGAGAAGCGGCCCGAATACTGACCCTTGAGGTACACCTGTGTCAATATTACCTAGTTCCGAAAATGAATTTCCAATTAAAACTTTCTGTTTGCGCCGGTATAGATGATGTTGCGCCAGTATAGATAATGTTCGAGCCAATGCAATAATTCCCCTGAAATTACGTCACTTCTAACTTTGCTATCAAGCCCCTGTGCCAAACGCTTTTGATATATCACAAAAAATAATGCAGGTATGTTTTCTTTCTTCTAAAGCAATACAAATATTATGGTAAATTTCAATAAGTTGATAAACAGGAGAATGACAAGGCATAAAACCTGACTGGTATCGATAAATCAAGCTATTTTCAAAAACATGATTATACAAGTGTTTGTAAACTACACGCTCAACACTTTACCAACTGTAGATAGTATAGGATATAGGTCTATATTTACACGGCGTATGACGATCACCCTTTTTGAAAAGCGGCATAACAGTTGCAAGTTTCCATTTATTTGGATATACACACGAAGAAAGTGGCATGTTAAAAAGTATGTCAAGTGGTTTGCAGATAAAGTTAGCAGTATATATATACTTCAGCACATGATGACTAATCCCCTCCCCTCCCGAAGCTTTCCCTAGCTTTTAAACTTGTAAAACATCTTTTATTTCTGAATGATTTAACCGCAAAGATACAAAACGTTTATCTGTTTTGGATTCAATCAACGGAACTGGAATATCAACATCATTAACACGGGTTATACTACAAAAATAATTATTAAGTAAACGGGTTTTATCGTCATCGTTTGAAAAAGTACTATTTGTCCTGGGTCCGTCAATCTCTCATTGAAGGGATATTGTAATAATGTCCACCGGATTTCATAAGTCGTTTTACTAGTTTCCAATAAGATTTTGGATCAGAAGAAGCGTAATCGTCAATAAGTCTATGTAATTTTTTTCATATTATTTACCTTGTTTCGCTGAGCTTTAAATTTGTCAATGTCTGAAAGTTGGAGTGTAACATGAGAGGCCGCTGGTTGGCCTTTTTTCTATCGGAGATGATTTTGCTGACTGCGACTCAAATGTTTTCTAAGTTCAGATGCCATCCAGGGCTTGTTGTTAGGTCGAACTGTAATTGTTTTTGAGGGTATGCATCTATTTATAAATTCGAAAAAAATGGCAGTAAAATTGTCACACGCAAGCAGTATCAACCGAGTCACTTACAGAAAACAAAACAGTCCAGTCATATTTGTCAATAAGGTCATTTAGCATGTCAAAGTCGGCTCGTTTGTATAACCACACTTTCCGTTTGTAACTTAAAAAGGTTTGTTAAAACAGGTAAATTCAATAACTACAATACAACCTTCATGATCACTTACTGCTCTATCAATAGGTAAAACTGAAGACAAGTAAGTGAATCTGATAGTAAAATGGGGCCAAGTAAACTAGATCTAGATGGACTAATTCTTGTAGGTTCATTTATAAGGTTTTTCAAGGAAAATGTGTTAATGAAATCATTAAGGACATGCATGGTGGGCAAATACGAGCTTTAAGCTCATTTCCCAGCCATCCGGATCAAGGTAAATCAAGGTAAATCATGGTTATTGGAAACAGTTAGTAAATCAACGTTTAGATCGTCAACTATAACTACATTTGGAGATATATCTAATGCACTATCAACAGATGCTTTTACATTTTGCCAGAAAGGATTAACAGAGTATTCAGGCCTATACACTGTACCAATTATTAGATTTGATCTTGGCAAAGTAATTTGTATCCATATGACTTCATCACCAGGGTAATTTATAACTTGTAAGCGACATACTTTCAGTAAATTATTAACATAGACTAATAAACCACCCCCCGAAAAGTTTCTGTCTTGTCGAAAGCGTTCATGAAAACCGGCTATATGTAATTCGTCAGTAGATACTTAGTCGTCCAATAATCAATCTCTATTTTTCACTTGAGCCAATGTATAGTCATTACTGTTTTAAGGGAGAAGACAAATTTTAAGTTTATAACTTGTGTCTAATCTAATTTGTATCTCGCAAATAAAATATTCTTACATCATTAAATATATTCCAGAAGTTGAATATTATGCCACGGAATCAGATCTATCTAAGTCCGCATTTCATTTTGAAGTCAGTTAATTTGGATAATCATGAATATCTTATTTAAATTTGTTCGAATGTAGGCCTATTATGAATTTAAATTAGATATTTGTCAGGTCTTCATTTGGTATCAGTTAATTTTGGAAAAAAATATCATCAAATCCATCAACAGTAGGCCTTATTTGTATGTTCATATTTTAATCATATGCAGTCAAATTTTGCAGGACTAGACTATACGTATAGTTCAAGCCCTAATTTGCATAGCAGGTGCCGCTTAGTTTAGAGTAGAATTTATAAGGAATAAGTAATTTTAGGAACATACGGGGGAAAAAAGACATTACCATGAAACATGCATCGAACTCTACATAAAGAGACTTTATTATCGGTAGACAACTCAGGAGCTGTTCGTAAGGAGCCTGAGAAATCGATAAACTGTCGAACGAGAAAAAAAGCAGAAGAAATACTGACTTCCGACATGACGTCATTTCTATGGGGGTGTCTTTTTGCTGCACATGGTAAGTGTATTACTACGCATAAATATAATTTTGGAAATTTGATGAAAAAATTAAGACGAGATGATAGAGCTTAGTTTTAATATCTTTATGATACACATTTAATATCCTAATATGAAAATTTGTTTGTTTGTCCAATCAAAACATAAACATCGTAGCACTATTTTTGACAGCGGAAGCATATCCGTTTCGTCATACAGCGGCTGCAACGACGAGAGGGTGTTTCTGCGTATAATTTTGACAGATAGAGGGATTGAACGGACATTTTCAGCCCTCTGTGTTATTTAACGTCATAATTGGAAAGACTACTCCATTGTCAACTGTGGTAAGACAGAAAGAATGTTTAGCCCTTTGAAGCAACGCAGAAAAAATCCTCAGTGAATGGCACACTTACGATTTGACGTCAATGCAATGGCCGACATTTGGTCTTCCTTGTTTACAAAGTTGTCTCGATTCGTTTGTTTTGTTTGTTCGTTTTCAATATTTAAGAAATAGGCCGATATAGCATCCGATTATCATTGAAAGTCTGAGTTGAAACGATACCCTTATAACAGGTTCGATTTTATATCGTATCCCAGTGAGCCTAATTATGAGAATTTTTACTGTCCCCATTTCAAAGACGTGCAAAATGTTCAGCTGATCGTGACTCACCTAAATGTGTTTTATGTAACCAATGCGCAGTTGTTTACATTGTTTATACACGATTCAGTAATGAAAGGAATGTTTTGATAGTGACTCTGGTTATGTATACTATATACATATACCGTAGAGGTGCGAGTAGGCGCATCAAGCTAAAATTGATTTTTTTTCTGTTTATAAATGTCATTGGAAACGTGATGTACAGTGGTTTCAGTTTGATTGTCTGTAAACCACTATCTCAAACCTCATTATCTTGTTCTTACAACATGATCTACATGTAGGCCTGAAGTGTTTAGAAATTTCGGAACTTTTGTTTTATATGCCAGACAAAGGATATGCTAATTTGCAGACTTGGTGCAAATCATGCATGTTCAAGACCCATACATGTTATACATCATTGTCTTACAATAACAAATAACTATATATATATGTATAATCATATTCTGTTCTTCTTGGTAGTGGGGTCTGGTCTTCACATAGAAAAACATGTGTAGCATAACTGGACTGGGTGAATGTCCATCACATTCTAGTTTAATGCTGGAGGGAATTTCCCACTTGCTCAATTGGTAGATATTTATCTTAAGCCAACTTGAAATCAGGCATTGCAGGTCCAGTGTCTAGTGGAAGAATACAAGTCTCTTTCCTGTCAAATGGTGTCTGCAGCCCTCAAGCTCCCTGACATGATTTTAATTGTGCATAGAATTATGGTCACTTTAATTTATAGTTTCGAGCTAGAGGGAATTTCCCCTTAACTCTGTGGTGGAGCATTCGACTAGGAACATCATGATAGGGGTCGCGGGTTCGATATCTAGTGGAAGCACACTATTCTCTTTCTTGTAACAGGTAGTAAGCATCGAGAGAAAACATTAAAACGGGGGGAGGGGACGCGCAGGTACCTATATAGAGTAATGGTCAACTTCAAATGCGTGCTCGTGGAAATCAGGGGCACTGGCTCAATTTTCATTGGAAGCACATACTACTCTCTTTCCTGTCACAAAGATTATGTTATAGTCATGGCCAGGTGGTCCCAGTAAATTGACAAAACAGGGTTGACAAAATATTTTGTACTGTTGATAAAAGTTCAGAAAAGAATTCAAATTATACTAAATTTTAAGTTGTTTTCAACAAAAAAGTTTCATTTGAAATGTTATAATTAAGAGACAGTCCTAAGCAAAAAACACCTTTAAAAAGGAAAACAGCTGAGGTTTGAAGTCTGAAATAGCTGTGTACCTATGACATTGTTTAAAACATTTGACAAGACAAATGGATAAAATCAATAATTACTTCTTCTTCTTCCTATGAGAGACGAATCTCTAAGATTGGAGCGATTATTGTCTCTGAGAGACATGGAGATAACACACATTTTATGATTTACTTTGTTGGAACCATGTTGATCATTCAACAGCTTTCTATGACATTTGTGTATGTTGCCCTGTAATCAAATATAGAGTGGTTTATTTTATCATACATGTACGTGGCAACTGTGTCAGTTCGAGATCATGTAATTGTTATAAGAGATGGAAAGCATAAGATGATAAATATATTGTGACACAATATATTTTCATGTATAAAGATAGGAGTAAACATATGAGGTGTGAAGCCTGTCACCATTTTTGTGATACATGTATCAATCTATAACTAGATTATCATGTTTTACGATGAACTTTGTGTTGTCATATATGGCCTCATCCCTTAGATAGTTTCTACTGTATTTTTCCCTATAAGATATCATTACAAAGATTGCTCTATTTTCAAAAAAAATCATGCTTTTTGTGTCCATTTGTAAGTGCAAATTGAAAATCTCAAACTTGCAGATATTTTGATAAAATTTAACCTAATTTATAAAGAGTACCTGCATTGCCCACAGAAGGTGTAAGTAGTAAATGTAATTATTAAGTGTTTTATGTTATTAGAATTTCTGATATGATTGTGTGCCAAATCTTTATATTTTTCAGAACAATAAGCCATTACGAAGAATCCATTGTGAACAGCAACCTATAAGGAAGATTATTCTTGTCAGTTTCTGGTCCACTCAGGGCCAGGTGTATACAGTAACAACACTGAAAAGTTTCACAGAACTCTGATATGGCCAACCGTGCTGGTGCACAAAGACCCAATGGGGCCACCCAGGGGAAAATTTGTCAGTTCAAACTTGTTTTGCTCGGAGAATCCGCTGTGGGAAAGTCAAGTTTGGTGTTAAGATTTGTGAAAGGACAATTTCACGAGTATCAAGAAAGCACAATTGGAGGTAATTCACCTAAGTTTATCACAGCTCCCAAGATATTTTTGGATTGCAGTTATGTTGTTAACTTAAATTCTTGAAATACTTGTATTTGTATTAAGAGTGCATGGCATATTGATGATCCCTATTGCCACCACCAATGATGTAAGGATGTACATGTATATAATCACACATTACATTGCATTGATCATGAAGGACAAGGAAAGAACAATGAGATTGTACATTATTTTAATAGCGATTTTTCAACAATTAAACTCTATGGTTCAGACCATTACATTTCCATTGAAAAGGAATCAACTGAAGTAAGTGTGTCGCTGACTGTTGAGAAACATTGTGTAAGGTTTGGGTTTCAACCGTTTGTGTATTTCACTTTTACTGCACACATTATTACATGTGTCATTGACAAGTGATGATCAGTGTGACAAAGCTTGGGCCTTCACCCCTGAAATTTCATAATGAATTATTTCAACCTTTGAATTGGAAGGGTTCAAATGTGTCTTCAGGGGTGAATGAGTTAATAGATATATATGTATATGTATTTGTGAACAGTATAACTATGGCGGTAAAAAAAGTTATACTGACAAATGATGACGATATTACAAAGTTAAACAGTATAATTATGGCAGTAAAAATGGTTATACTGACAAATTATGACGATATTACAATTAAAGGTAAACAGTATAACTATGACAGTAAAAAGGGTATACTGTGGGTATATAAAAAGGGTATACAAATATATATTTGTGGATATATGCAACGGTTATATATCCTCTGCACAAGGGAAAATTAAATGACATAATAACTTAATGATATGTTACAGGGTGCATTTCCATACACATGCGTACTTAGTCACTTAGATTGATCACAAGTGTGAAAGGTCGTTGTCAGGATATGCATCTGACACTTGACATCTAAACAGATTCCATTTCAATTTTATACAAATTTGTCAGTGATTTAATGGAGATTGGTACAGACAGCTGTCTGGTTATATCGCGGTGAATGGTACCTATACTATTGTACATCATTGGTGTCTTGTTACAATGGAGGACGGTAACATTTATTTGTAAAACGACACCCAAGGTATTTCTTACATTCAATACAATTTTTGTGTTATACGAATGTACAAAAGAACCTGCAGATGTAACAACTATTGTAAAATCATGCAGCTGTGAATATAGTTTGCAAATCATGATTGTTATTTTGCTGTTAGTAGTTCTAAACACTGATCAAACATAATAGTCTGAAAAATCACTTTTAAACTACATACATCTTTATATACATGAATGCACCAAATGTATTTTGAAACTAGTGGTGGACTTCGAAAGAATATCCAGTTGAATGTTCACATGCTATATAAATTATAATACTGACCTATACATATTCTGAAAAAATATAGCAGGTTCAGATTTGATGAATAGCAGCTGGCTACTTAACGTTTGCGGGCAGCCCTTGTTTAATGACAACACTGATGTGTTTATGTTGTGGAGTAAAATGTATAAAACTAGTCCGAACGGGTTGTTGTGCCAATTTCCATTGTACATGTAGATACAAACTTGTATACAATCTAACAAATACTCATTGAGTGAAACTTGTTTCTGTTGACAGCTGCATTTCTAACACAGACAGTGTGTTTAGATGACACGACAGTGAAGTTTGAAATCTGGGACACAGCAGGCCAGGAACGCTATCACAGTCTGGCCCCAATGTACTATAGAGGAGCACAGGCTGCCATTGTTGTATATGATATTACAAACCAAGTAAGCTTTACTCCTCACCTGATTATAAAGTTAAGAAAAATAATTATGTCATATTATGAATCTTCTATATATAATTACGGTTAATTATATATAGAAGATTCATAATATGACAATTATTTTTCTTCTATATATAATTACGGTTAATTATAAATAAAGATTTATGAGTTATATTTGATGCATCTTCTGGATTCTGAACCCTTAGATTCATAGTTACATATATATAGGGAAATGCATAAAACCTTGAGGGACACTGAGAACACTGATAATTAATTATCATGTAATTTCTCAAATCTTTGCATGTATTTTTGAAATTCCAGTAGGAATAATTAGTTTCTTCTTGAAGTTGTTTAATTTGGAAAGCTGTTCATCAATTGATCTGTATTGTTGCCTGTTACTGATTTGATTTAACGAAATATGAAAATAAATGGTTAATGTATGATGCTATAACCATGACCACAGGCTCAGAAAACAATTTTCAGGAACCACTCATTTTGTAGGACTGGGAGATCATACAAAAAATATTTGTGAGTATAAAAATCCATTATTTGTTATATATTACCTTTTATTGTTTTGAAGGACACATTTGGAAGAGCAAAGACTTGGGTGAAAGAACTACAAAGACAAGCCAGCCCAAACATTGTGATAGCTCTCGCTGGCAACAAGTCTGATCTCTCTAACAAACGAATGGTTGAGTACGAGGTAAAATATGCACATTCTTATATATTTTTTCCACATCTGCATTGCTAGGGGATTTTATAAAACCTCAACAATTTCATTTCTACTTCAAAACTTAGTTATCTGCTATAAGGGCTGTTCAAGAAATAAGCATATGAGAGGGGTGTGAGGTATTTTCCACCTTCCAAATATTGAAAAGGATTCGATATCAGAAATGGTTGACAGATCTGGTTTTAAACCCACCACCAATAATATAATTATACAGGTGCCTCTCATCTTCCCCTAAACAATCAATTATGGAATATCCCTAAGGCAAGCATATCTATAACCTAAAATCACTGTTTTCGAGATAAATATAATATTGGTCGACATATTTACACAAGTACCTACAATGTAGTAGTTCTGTCATTCAAGGTTGATGCTTTTTATTTTCGGGTAAATCTGTCGTTCAAGGTGGGTTCTTTATATTGTTGTAATTCTGTCATTAAAGTTGATTCTTCCGTCTGATTTGCTAATGATACCAATACCAGAACTACACTTTTTCCAACTCCATCCTCAGGAAATTTGATGGTAAATCAGGGATGAACAGTTTCCTTTTTAGACATAGTTCAAAATCGTCTACTAGCCCACCTGTATTCCGAGTCTAACTTCTTTATCAGAAGAATTGCTAGGTCTAGACCTTGCAGTCAACCAGGACTGAACCTTATTCAGTTCTCATAATAAAACTTTTCCATAGAAGCAAATGAACCTGTCTTGGTTAGAATTTACTTGATTTGTGCTGATTTACAATTTCGAATTTCTAGGGTATGACTGTTTAGCCAAAACACCCCAAAGAGCAGGGGTGTAGAATGTTACATATCGGGTGCTAGCTAAGAGGCAGATTTTGCTAAATTCTACTGCCAGAGCATGAGGCTAGAGGAATTGTAAAGGGTTGTAGATGCTGTCAGTGAAAATAATGTTATGTGTCTCTTTTGATATTGCGGAAAAACCTAATCAGTTTATAGTGTATAGACCAAGCTGTTCACTACATTTTTCAACCAACTGTATATCTCTGTTATATTTCCATATATGAAATGTTGGTCTAAAGCATTATTTTGTTTCTTCTGTAAGTGTGTAATAAATCTTGAGGCCATTCAACAAGACGTCTTTAAACCCTGTATTTCATGAAGCTCAAACTCATTACCTGTAATCAATGTGTTTGTGATATTTTGTACGTCATACCAGGGTCTTCAACTTGTATTCATGAAGCTCAAACTCATTGTGTGATGTACATGCATATAACAAGATTTCTTTAATACAATGTAATGGAATTGTGTGCCAGACAGTGTTTCTGGAAGACCAAACTTATTATTTGGGATGTTTATTTAACAAGATACCTGTATACCTTGTTTCAGGAAGCCCAAGCATATGCAGAAGAAAACAGTTTGTTGTTCATGGAGACATCTGCTAAGACAGCCATGAATGTGAATGATATATTTTTGGCAATTGGTAAGTGGATTGCAATCAATAACCTTTCTTTTATTTTGTCATAAATAGCTGAATAATGTTAAAATTAATTTCAAGAACTGGTAACTCTGTTTCTGGAAGAGAAAAAAATTAGAATATTTTCAGCTTGGAGAGAAGAAAAAATAGAATATTTTCAGCTTGCATTGTATTAAGTACATGTGATGCATGAAATTATACAATGGTGTACTGTCTGTTCAGCATCACCCTTTTACTTGATCGATTTCTTAAGATCCATGATGTTGAGTCTCGATAAAATAACTTTGAACATTTTTTAAGGTCAAATGAAATAAAAAAGGAACTTCTTCAACAAGAAGTGAAGAGTAGTCATTGTAATTTGCCCATAGTTATAGGCTCATGTGCTGTAAATACAGTTGTAAATTTGGTCCTGATTGAAAATTGCCGCGGTAAAATGTGCTTGCCAATATCAATAAAAATGACAAGGAGCAAAACTCTCTGTTTGAGTCCATCGTTAAATCATGCTGTTAGTAGGTTTTTTTCGTCCGGACATTTTTGAATTCAGACTTAAATTGTGTGTCATTAACGTTCATGGTGTTCACAATATTGTTGGAATTTTCCTTGTCCGATTTAAAGCAAGTCTTCCCTGTTAAAATGCTAAAAATGTAATCTCTTTCTCTCTCTATATATAAAATGTAATCTCTTTCTCTCTCTATATATA